ATACTACCTAGAACTAAATAAAACACAGGGGAAGACTAAGCAAATGCCTAAGCCTGAGATGGCAGCAAACAACATTTACTGAATCTGGGAAAGGAAAATTATTCCATCTTAATAAAGCCTAAAGACATACAAGTGAGGACCCTCCCTGGTGACGCAGCAGGTTAAAGCACAGCACTAAGAATCTAAAGCCACTTTACTTTAGCATGAGTTCGATCCCCGCCCCAGAGGTGATTCACATGGCACAGCAGACCTCTCCTGACCTACCCACTGCTCTCCTCAGCAGTGTACTTCGTCAGTCAGCCTGTTCTGCTCCCCACTCTGTCTCTGGTAAATCCTCTCACTGCCCCTGCATCTCTGGCCGGTATCCCAGTTCTGTGTGCATAAATAAATCTTAAAAAAAATGAAATACAAATGAGTTTAGATTCAAATTCATAGCAAAAGAAAGAACCATCTTGAGCCCACCTTTAGTCATAATGCTAATTTTCTTACATATTTATTTAATCTTCGTAACCATCAGTGAGAAACATCCCCTTCCAGAGAACAGAGATAGTCAAGTCTATAATCCGCAGTGCAAAAACTGGCAGACCCAGAATTTGCACTTAGTTCCATTTAAACCCAGAACTCATACCCTTTTCTCCTCTACTACTATTTCCCATGTCCCAGAGGCAGGGAAGGAGAATAAGACTCTGCAGAGAGCAAGTGTACAAAGGTGATGTATACTTTGTCCCAAAAGTTTAAATGGGCAAAGTTGCCTGCCGTTCAAAGGCTGACAGGGTAAAAGGTGCTATCAGTCTAACTGGATGGTTCAGTCAGACAGGATTCTTTGACAAGTACTTAAATATCTGAAGTGTGACTTATCAGCATGAGGCAAGAGACTCTCTGACAAAAAGCAAGTTACTGTGTGCCTCCTCTGTGTCTCTGTTTCCTTATAGAAACACAAAGACAGTATGGTCTCTCTTGCGGAAATGGTGTAAGGGTTAAAGAAACTGTGCGGCGATCACTCTGGAAATGGTCTGTCACAACCAAAAAGGCTCAGTGAACTGTTGCCAATATTACGAAAGCCTTGCACAACTAAACTTTCTCCAGGACCTTCCTTCCTTTCCCTCTTGCCTAAAACACCTGCATTCCCCTCAACTCCTGCTGTTACTAACCTGTTGCTTCTTCCATACTCTTTCATTTAGCCCACAAATCTTCAGAATACCTACACCCGCCAGTCAGGGAAAAACCAAGCCCTCACAGAAAACCTACATTTGTGGGAGACAGAGGAAGAGATAATAAATAAAAGGCACATAATAAAACACTGGATAGAGTCACACATAAGAAAGCCCAGTAAAGTAGGGAAGGGGTGGAGTACAATTCCCTGGGAGAGAGCTGGGGCTAGATAATAAGGGAAAGACCAGCTTGGAAAATAAACATTAAAGCAGAGTGCACAATGAAGGGAAAGAACATGGCAAAAGGGAACAGTATTTCAGACAGAGGAACAGCAAACACCCAGATTTAGGAACAAGTCTAGTGTCTTCAAAGACTAAGAACATAGCTCTATAGCAACACTGATAGTGTTATAGTGGTTTACACACCCATTGTGCCATCAAATCAAAAGACCTCAGAGGGTAAGGAGTCTGCAACATTTTTGTGTTCTTTCAGACAACTCTTGTTTATTAAGTGCATCTATATGCCCAATATTCCTTAAGCACTGAGTTTATAGTGATGAAATACAGTCTCTGTCATAAAAAATAACACTGGGTATCATGGAGTAAGTACTCAGAAGATATTTATTAAATGAACATTATGTAATTGATTTTCAGTTCTGGGACTCTTACAGCACTGTTCTTCCTTCCTCATTTGACTAAAAGATCACCATCACCCATCAATTTCTATTTTCCACCTGGCAACCCACACCAAACTATTGGGACTAATCTGTATGTCCTCTCTCCCTCTGCTTTTGCATGTAGTCCCCTCTAGCTGAAATGCCCTTCTTACTCCGTCTTCTTCACCAGACTAACCCCAAAATTATTTCTCAAAATTTTATTAGTATATTGACTTATCATTTGCTCAAACATGTACAAATATCTCAAGTTCTTCAGGCAAAACATTTCCGTCAAGTCAAGGAAAGCCATGCCTCAAGTGACAATCCCAAATTGAGTAGTAAAAAGAGCTGAAGGACAAATAAGCTGAGGTTATGTATACAATTTCTTTTCCTTCCCCCAATTACAAGATATTTCAGTGACTTTCTGGGCTTTGTGCCTCCAGAATTAGGCTAGGGTGCAAGAGCTGCAAAGTTTCTCACTATTGTGGGTCTCTATACTCATCATTCACCCGCCAAAGAAATGTTCTATTTACAACATTCATTCATTCACTCACTCAATCATTTTTCATTTGGTATAAAGAAAACCAATCTGGAACATGAGGTATCACTTAAAGGTTTCCCTCACTTAGAAGGTTAATGATTTAGTGTCTAAATTATATGAGATGTATTTCCTTATCTAATAGCAGAAAATGCAGCTGTAGTTCCCTGAAAAAGGAAAAGGAAAAAAAAGTCAAACATTTATTCTTCTAGACCAGAAAGCAGATTTAGGTGATTCATAACTTCCCACACAGGCTCACTTGGCAGATAAGAACTTGCAAGTAACCCTTAGTCCTTCACGTCCAGAAGCTACCAATCCATCTCTCTCCACCCACTTCTGGAAAGAGCAGAAAATGAAGCAGGAGCCATGTCTTCTGAAGTATACAACAGCAAAGGCATGGGTTTAGCAGTCCTTCAACAGTACACTTTCCTCTCCAAGTTCTTGCACAGAAGTTCCAGCTTCATCAAAAAACACAGAACACTTATAAAGCTGCTGGCCTGACAAAGGCAGTGTTTCTGAAAAGGTCTACACTTCTCTTACAACAGAATGTCATGAATTTCAGCCAGCTATAATGAAAAATATCCTAAAGACAACATGTGCTGAAACCTGCCGTTCTCTTTTTAGACTCAGCACCCTCGATCAAGATGTCCAGATGATATAACCCACAGGATGGGCTTATCTGTGTACCCACGATGTCTGCACCTTCCTAGCTCCGCAGAACCCTTTTCCCCTAGCTCCGCAGAACCCTTTTCCCCTAGCTGACAAGTTAGACACAGCAACACAGTACTGCTCTGCCAGGATTTAGGGCTACGGAGTCATCTAGCAATAATTAAACCTTTACTGGAACATTTTATAGGATAACACATCATCCACACCTATATAAATCAATGTTTACGAGATAGAGGGAGGTAACAGTCCTTTTATTCAGTCCTTCTTGCCAAACCAAGGGTGTCTATCCCTAATTAGAGTCTTCAAAGTGCTGAGTTCAGGCTTCTATTTCTTAGTTAGCCAAAAAGGTTTGTATTTCAGCTTAACACTTAGGTTTCTCTGTACTATTACTTTGCTTACATATTCACAGCCCTGGGGCCCACCTTTTTCATCAATTCAAGTCTATACTCATAGTAACAGAATTGTTTTTAGTAAAGTTAAATAATGAATAAAATTTGATCACCTGGAGGTGTTCTCCTTACTACACTACAATAATTATTAGGGGGTTTAATTAGATAAATCCTTCAGTTCTTTTACTATCCTGCCACTCTATCAAGTACCTATTACAGTAATAAGTATTACAGTAATAAGTATTAACACCCTGTAAATTTACACTAACAAGGACAAGGAAATGAGAAGTCAGGAACTGAAAGGAGGGAAAAAACTCATCAATGTTCAGAGTTACTCAAATACTCATTAGTAGGTAGGTATCTTTTCCACTTTTATGCTCTTTACCCTGGTTAAAACTTAATGAGTTAGCAGTATAAAGGACCAGGGAAGAAAATAATAATAATAATGAACAGCTATATACCAGAGACATTTTACGGGGGTGGAGTGGGGAATGGGATCAGAAGTGGTGAGGGAAGAGAAGTGCACTGGACTGTGGTGATGGCACACCAGTAATTTGGTTATGGGACGCCCAAGGGGATTACAACTGAGGTGGAAAAAGACACAAAATGATGTAAAAATAAACCATTATATTATTTAAAAAAAAAACCTGCATGAGTAATAATTTGCATCTCAAATAAAAATGGGAAAAAGGACAAAACCCTTGCTCTGCTTGCTCTGCTGTGACATCGCCTCACACTATCCTTTCTTTTAAAGGCAGAGGATGTCTATGGAGAATGAGAAGCTGAGTCACTGGAGTTACTCTCAGAGTCATCATCAACTCTTAACTCCCCAAAGACCTCACCACTAAGACTCTTGCCATCAGCAGAAGATAAAATCTACTGGAGACCAAGTTCGCTGAAAGTATCAACACCCCCCAACTTGCTGTCGTGGGTTTTTATTCTCTATAAAGACACAATCAACAGGTCATGGGTCAGATGCATTTTAATGATGGGAAGTATCTTTTCACTGAAAGAAGGGAGAGCATTTCCCAACTTTTCTCCTTTCTGCCTACATTTCACCAAATCGTGAGCCCCAAAAAGCAGATAGTCTGAAGAAAATCCACTCCCAGAGATGACTTATTAATACCAGCAAGGCTGGGATAGCTTTGTAAGCGCGTTCATCACGTGGCCCACAAATGCGCTCTGACACAGAGAAACTGCAAATTAACAGGCAAACAATATAATAAAACCTCAAGCCTGCACAGGCAGGTCTGAGGAACTTTCCCTAAACTTGTAAGCAACACCTAGTACACTGATTAACAGCGCCTTCCGCATGAACTGGGGAGCCCACGACCGCGAGTCGAGGAGTTCAGTCTGGGGGCAGTTCGAGCTGCAGCGCCCCCTCGGCTCACTATCCCATACACTAACAGTCAGGGCTGCGGGGATCCCTGGTGCGCCCTGTGCATTGCATCGTACATCGCCTCCATAGGTGGGGCGCCCGACCACCACGCGGCAGTGGTCAGAAGGAAGACAGCTGGAGGAGGCGTCCAGGAGTGGCTGGGCAAGCGGGAGCCCCAGCCAGAACATTCCCGCGGCTGCTGCCACACGGCCCGCTCACCTGGGACCTGGCCACCAGGAGCGGGGGCCGGAGCGCCAGGTCTCGCAGAAGCTTCCCGGCCTGCGCTGCCAGGGGGGACGCCATCTTAAACAGGAAACACAGCGCGGGGGAGCTGCAACGAGCGCGGTCTGGGGAGGCGGTTGTAGAGGGGCGGGTTCACCGCCCGCCCCCCACCCCACCCCCGGCGGCCCAGCCCCCTCTGCCCTGGACCGCCCAGTCGCGAAGCACGTGGCTGCACAGCGGGTGAGCCCCTGGCTGGGCTACACAATAATTCTGGGGAGACAGAATCCTTCCTCTCCTACTCTGTCCCCCAAGTTCACTTTGAGCATTCAGAGGGCCTGAGGATATACTCGCTGTGAAGTCGTAGATCAAATAGCTGTGTATAAAAGTAGGTCCTGGACCCTTATATCGTAGGGTTTAAAGTGTGCGGGTCAAACAGACAGCGAGTATTAGTCATTGCAGTGAACGTTTCAAAGATCGAACCAGAAAGCTGTCTCCATGTAACAGACTAGCCCAGGGAAGCGATTGAAGAATAAGGGAGAGGCAACTGGATCCCTTGAGGTGGTGAAGGTCTTGGATACCTTTAAGATTTTTTTTTTTTTTCATTAACTGTGGATGAAAGCAAATCTAGTGAAAGATTTGTACATTAGAATTACCATCATAAGAACAGATCTTTATTTGGAGTTTACCTGATTCTGAGCACTGTACATGTAATAGAAGTGGACACAGCAAATAGGCTTATTATGTTACACACACTTAATAAATATGAACTCATTCAGTCTTCAGAGCAATTTTTCCATAGAAGTGTAAAATTACCATTTTGCAAAAGGGAAAACTGAGGCACAAAGCGCTAAAGCAAATTCTCTGAGTTCTCAATTTTAATAACCAATGGGAGTGAGATTAAATCCATGCTTTCTCTTCTTCCCACCCCATTTAGCAATATTTTAGAATTTTTTAGCTTGTTTATTCAGTAACTATATGAAAAGTTACAATATAATTAAGCTAGACTGTTATATTTTCCTTTCTCATCACCCTTCTTTTATTGGTGTTTTTCAATTTAGAATCATAAAAAATGCAAAAATTCAAGAATATTACCTTAACCCAGGCTGTCTTAAGAATATTACCTTCTGCCCTCCCTGGTGGCGCAGCCGGTTAAAGCACAGCACTAAGAAGCTAAAGTCACTTCCGCATGAGTTCAGTTCCCGCCTGCCCCGGAGGTGACCCCATGGCAGGGCAGACCTCTCTTGATCCTCCCACTGCTCCCCTCAGAAGTGTACTTCCTAGATCTGCCTGTTCTGCTCCCCACTCTGTTTCTGGTGAAGCCTCTCGCTGCCCTTGAGCCTCTGGCTGTACCCCAGTTTTGTATGCATAAATAAATAAATCTTTAAAAAAAAAAAAAGAATATTACCTTCACTCAGGCTCACCACTTCCTTATATTTTGTCCCACTTCATTCTTAATAGATATAAATACATAGATTTACAGTCATCCTGTTCACAGATTTAGCAACCACTGATTCATACTGCTTGAATTCATTACTTTGAAGATTATAAAATAGTGATTGTCTAATGCCATCCTTTTCTACATTTATTAGTTTGCGTTCTACTCTGAGAAGAGCTTTACATTTTCCCACATTTCTTTATTTTCGTAGTCACTTGTCAGTAAGCCCTTTTTTATTCAGTGCTCCCTTTTTACCCTGTGCTCTTTCCTATCCCTTACACTCTGTGCCTCAGGATATGGGTCATTTAATCCTCAGATGGGGGTCCTGTTAGTCTCATTTTGCCAAACAGTGAACTGGTCCACAGAGAGATTATGTAACTTGCCCAGGGTCACATAAACCCTAAAGCTGGAATCTCAACACTCCTGCACACCTCCTCTGCACAGAAATGATCTGAGTTTCTATCACCTTGTTCATTACTATCACTGGGTTCCATCTAGCAAGGCAAATATTTATTAACGTTTGTAGACTGAATGCTGAAACTTGAGGACTTTGAATTTGTTCTCATCAGAGGACCACCTGCAGAATTATTCAAAGGTGTTTATTCTTCATTATTATGTAAACGAGTTGACTACTGTGCTCTTCTTCCAGCAGAGACTAGAAGGGACCTGAAAGGAGAGTGCATTTTGTAGCTAGAAAGGAGAGGCTCCTTAGACAGTCTTAGATTGATGGTGTTCTATTAGGATGGGAGTTTTCTATTAGGGAGAAAGATATTTGAAAGTGAAGAGGGAAGAGACTTTCTGATTGCTGTTCAAGTGTGTTTGGCAGTTTTTGGTGCACTTAACTGGGGGCTTTCATATGAGTTTTCCTGTTGAAATTGGAAAACTGTCTGCTTTGGGCCCAGGTCTTGCATAGCAATTCCTCAGTATCTTCACCTATAGTTGCATACTCTCATTCTGCTTTCTCTGCAGCCAAGAGCAGGGGTTGGGGGTGGTGGGAGGGGTGGGGGGTGAAGATCAGAGGGATAGTCATATGGTATTTCACTTAGGCCCTATCACCAACTGGGCCAGGACTGGAGCAAATAGTCAATACACACATGTAATATAAATCACTTACTGAGCCCTTCCTTGGGCTTGTCTCTATTTCTCACAATTTTTATTTTCCAAATGAGAAGCTCCTTGAGATCAGGGAAATTGGTTTCAACCACAGTGTTCAGCAATGTGCTTTATTGAGACAAGCACTGTGTTTCTAGTCTAATTGCATTCAAAGCCCACCTTAACCCTTACCAGCTTTGGAGAAGTAACTGCTTTGTGTGGTGGTAGTTGAGTATTATATGAGATCTTGTAGGTAGACTTTGTGTCTAGTAGGGCTTCATAAATGTTATTTTCTTCTCTAAAATGTTTTATTAGGTATCTAATGTGAACACCAGAGTCAATCAGAGATATGAGACAATTTTTGATGCTTTGTAACTTATCTTAATAGCACTGATGTACTATGGAAATGTATACATGTCAGAAGAAAGTGCTAAAAGGTTCAAAAGGGGTTACCTCCAAGAAGAGGTTAGAAGAGAGTAGACCCAGAATGTTTTTAGAGCTTCTAAAAGAGTAGATTCTACTCTCACACCTAGTGAATCAGAATCAATTAGGATGGGGTCTAGGATCTGCATTACAGATAATCTTCTTAAGGAATTCTTTAGTTTGAAAAGTAAACCAACCAATCAAACTCACAAGAATATTCCTGGCAAGTCAAGGAACAAATTACTCTGCTGTCATTCTGAGTTCGTAAATGTAAAAGGAAAAGCTGTAAGTCTCTACAGCAGTGATGAGTAAATGCTGCTTTCAGATATGAACATAGTGGACAAAATGCCAGCTTCTCCCAGGGGTGTAGGTCAACTGTGACATATAGAAGCATTGAATTCTTCATCAAAATCGCTGTTATAGACTGCTTGAATACTAGCTGTGGTCATAGGCAATCACAATCACCACTGAAAGCATTCTGTACTGTCCATCAGAATGAAGTACCAAGGTAGACCTCAGAGCAACTGAGTGTGAGTCTTGACTCTGATTTAAATTAGTTTGGGCAAGTTACTTCACAACTTCAATTTCTTCATCTGTGAAAAGGAGATTATAAAAGTACTTATTTTTGTCAGAGACAGTTTATCTGTTTTTGATATCCCAGCAGCTGTTATACCCCATGCTTTCATTATTTGACTAAGTGATTATTTTTGGAGTTTATTTCTTTAGTATTTATAACTGTGTGCCTTCATTTCCCCATTAGGAAAACAAATGCATCGAGCACAGGTATGACAGAATATTATTTGGACTGAGCATTAACAAACATAGCACTTCTCATTAATTTTGCATACATAGAAGTATACGCTTCTAAAACTCCATAATAAAACTTTGGTCTTAGAACACCCTGCCTATACTATTTCTTGTTCAGCTAATCATTCCAGGGAAGAAAGAATAAAAACATCAGCAGACCCACACACCTTCTCTTTTATCTTATCAGTGCATGTTAACAGTAAAATAATGTGCTCATCTTCATACCCACACTGGTTACTCCAGGGACCCTGATTTGCCAAAGAGCCATGTCATGAAAGCCAGCACAGGGAGAGTACAAGTTACAGTTCCAGTGGCTGTTTATCATTACCTTTCCATTTAAGCACAAAAACCATTTGACAAATACAAACTCATTATAACCAGCAGAGCTGAACAAAATTTTTAAAGAAACAACCCTAATTTTCATGAATAGCATATTTGAGTTCGTGCTGCTGTGTGTCAGGAATAAAAATCACTATTATGATGACGGAATGAAGGGCATTTGTAGATTTTGTTTAGTTTTTTCTTTTTTAATGGATAACAGATTTCTTGCACTTACAGGAAAAGAAACTTTGGCTTTTCACTATGTACTTAGGTGATATCCCTGTTACTATTTGTGATAGCCATTTTAACCAATGCTTCAATTGTGTTATTTGCCAATGGTACAGAAAGAACTTCCATTATACTAAAGTTATTTTTCCCTTTTTCATAATACAGTAAAATGATTAATTTTGATGATGTTTCTCAGAGGCTCATTTGAATTATAGGGTACCCAGCAGAAAAGATATCTAAAACTAAAAATCTCTGACAAAACTCTAATTTCACTCTGTCCTCGAGAGAATTTGGAGGACACAAATCAGGGCCATGATAACAAGTCAAGTTCAGGATGAAAAAGAGGATTGGAAATAGAGAGTTGGAGCTGCCAGGGACAAGTCTTCTGATGACTAAGAGTGGAGAACAAGATATCAGGATAGACAAAAGGGTGATTACATTCTTTTGACAGGGAGTTTAGAGATGGGTATAGAAGATGGCAAACATGGAATGAAGAACTTTTTCTCAAAGGACAAGTGAAGTGGAAAAGACCAAAAGAGAAAAAGGCTCCAGATAGTGGAAAGAAGTTTCCTCAGTAACAAAACCTATATTCATGTTGCAATTGGAGTCCATGGAATTTAGCACTTTAATATTTTTTCCTAAAGATTTATTTATTTGTTCATACAGAACTGGGGTACAGACCAGAGGCTCAAGGGAGGTGAGAGGCTTCACCAGAGACAGAGTGGGGAACAGAACAGGGAGATCTAAGAAATACACTGCTGAGGGGAGCAGCGGGCAGGTCAGGAGAGGTCTGCCTC